CTAAAGTGGGCCTCCCAAAGTCCACTTCCCACATGAACGTTTTGTCCCTCATTTGTAATTGGACCAGGTAAATATCTTCTATAAAAGGTACTTTTCCGTGGTAATAGAAGGCCATCAGGCCCGATCAAAATTTAGGATCTGTTTGGCGCAGCTGTCATAATATCTTCTGTAATATCATAATAAATGAAGAATAAGATAATATTTCTCTGTCATAATATCTTCTATAAAAGGTAATTACCCCGTGGCAATAGAAGACCATCAGGCCCGACCAAAATGTAGGGTCTGTTTGGCGCAGGTGTCATAATATCTTCTATAAAATCATAATAAATAAAGAATAAGATAATATTTCTCTGTCATAATATCTTCTATAAAAGGTAATTACCCCGTGGCAATAGAAGACCATCAGGCCCGACCAAAATGTAGGGTCTGTTTGGCGCAGGTGTCATAATATCTTCTATAAAATCATAATAAATAAAGAATAAGATAATATTTCTCTGTCATAATATCTTCTATAAAAGGTAATTACCCCGTGGCAATAGAAGACCATCAGGCCCGACCAAAATGTAGGGTCTGTTTGGCGCAGGTGTCATAATATCTTCTATAAAATCATAATAAATAAAGAATAAGATAATATTTCTCTGTCATAATATCTTCTATAAAAGGTAATTACCCCGTGGCAATAGAAGACCATCAGGCCCGACCAAAATGTAGGGTCTGTTTGGCGCAGGTGTCATAATATCTTCTATAAAATCATAATAAATAAAGAATAAGATAATATTTCTCTGTCATAATATCTTCTATAAAAGGTAATTACCCCGTGGCAATAGAAGACCATCAGGCCCGACCAAAATGTAGGGTCTGTTTGGCGCAGGTGTCATAATATCTTCTATAAAATCATAATAAATAAAGAATAAGATAATATTTCTCTGTCATAATATCTTCTATAAAAGGTAATTACCCCGTGGCAATAGAAGACCATCAGGCCCGACCAAAATGTAGGGTCTGTTTGGCGCAGGTGTCATAATATCTTCTATAAAATCATAATAAATAAAGAATAAGATAATATTTCTCTGTCATAATATCTTCTATAAAAGGTAATTACCCCGTGGCAATAGAAGACCATCAGGCCCGACCAAAATGTAGGGTCTGTTTGGCGCAGGTGTCATAATATCTTCTATAAAATCATAATAAATAAAGAATAAGATAATATTTCTCTGTCATAATATCTTCTATAAAAGGTAATTACCCCGTGGCAATAGAAGACCATCAGGCCCGACCAAAATGTAGGGTCTGTTTGGCGCAGGTGTCATAATATCTTCTATAAAATCATAATAAATAAAGAATAAGATAATATTTCTCTGTCATAATATCTTCTATAAAAGGTAATTACCCCGTGGCAATAGAAGACCATCAGGCCCGACCAAAATGTAGGGTCTGTTTGGCGCAGGTGTCATAATATCTTCTATAAAATCATAATAAATAAAGAATAAGATAATATTTCTCTGTCATAATATCTTCTATAAAAGGTAATTACCCCGTGGCAATAGAAGACCATCAGGCCCGACCAAAATGTAGGGTCTGTTTGGCGCAGGTGTCATAATATCTTCTATAAAATCATAATAAATAAAGAATAAGATAATATTTCTCTGTCATAATATCTTCTATAAAAGGTAATTACCCCGTGGCAATAGAAGACCATCAGGCCCGACCAAAATGTAGGGTCTGTTTGGCGCAGGTGTCATAATATCTTCTATAAAATCATAATAAATAAAGAATAAGATAATATTTCTCTGTCATAATATCTTCTATAAAAGGTAATTACCCCGTGGCAATAGAAGACCATCAGGCCCGACCAAAATGTAGGGTCTGTTTGGCGCAGGTGTCATAATATCTTCTATAAAATCATAATAAATAAAGAATAAGATAATATTTCTCTGTCATAATATCTTCTATAAAAGGTAATTACCCCGTGGCAATAGAAGACCATCAGGCCCGACCAAAATGTAGGGTCTGTTTGGCGCAGGTGTCATAATATCTTCTATAAAATCATAATAAATAAAGAATAAGATAATATTTCTCTGTCATAATATCTTCTATAAAAGGTAATTACCCCGTGGCAATAGAAGACCATCAGGCCCGACCAAAATGTAGGGTCTGTTTGGCGCAGGTGTCATAATATCTTCTATAAAATCATAATAAATAAAGAATAAGATAATATTTCTCTGTCATAATATCTTCTATAAAAGGTAATTACCCCGTGGCAATAGAAGACCATCAGGCCCGACCAAAATGTAGGGTCTGTTTGGCGCAGGTGTCATAATATCTTCTATAAAATCATAATAAATAAAGAATAAGATAATATTTCTCTGTCATAATATCTTCTATAAAAGGTAATTACCCCGTGGCAATAGAAGACCATCAGGCCCGACCAAAATGTAGGGTCTGTTTGGCGCAGGTGTCATAATATCTTCTATAAAATCATAATAAATAAAGAATAAGATAATATTTCTCTGTCATAATATCTTCTATAAAAGGTAATTACCCCGTGGCAATAGAAGACCATCAGGCCCGACCAAAATGTAGGGTCTGTTTGGCGCAGGTGTCATAATATCTTCTATAAAATCATAATAAATAAAGAATAAGATAATATTTCTCTGTCATAATATCTTCTATAAAAGGTAATTACCCCGTGGCAATAGAAGACCATCAGGCCCGACCAAAATGTAGGGTCTGTTTGGCGCAGGTGTCATAATATCTTCTATAAAATCATAATAAATAAAGAATAAGATAATATTTCTCTGTCATAATATCTTCTATAAAAGGTAATTACCCCGTGGCAATAGAAGACCATCAGGCCCGACCAAAATGTAGGGTCTGTTTGGCGCAGGTGTCATAATATCTTCTATAAAATCATAATAAATAAAGAATAAGATAATATTTCTCTGTCATAATATCTTCTATAAAAGGTAATTACCCCGTGGCAATAGAAGACCATCAGGCCCGACCAAAATGTAGGGTCTGTTTGGCGCAGGTGTCATAATATCTTCTATAAAATCATAATAAATAAAGAATAAGATAATATTTCTCTGTCATAATATCTTCTATAAAAGGTAATTACCCCGTGGCAATAGAAGACCATCAGGCCCGACCAAAATGTAGGGTCTGTTTGGCGCAGGTGTCATAATATCTTCTATAAAATCATAATAAATAAAGAATAAGATAATATTTCTCTGTCATAATATCTTCTATAAAAGGTAATTACCCCGTGGCAATAGAAGACCATCAGGCCCGACCAAAATGTAGGGTCTGTTTGGCGCAGGTGTCATAATATCTTCTATAAAATCATAATAAATAAAGAATAAGATAATATTTCTCTGTCATAATATCTTCTATAAAAGGTAATTACCCCGTGGCAATAGAAGACCATCAGGCCCGACCAAAATGTAGGGTCTGTTTGGCGCAGGTGTCATAATATCTTCTATAAAATCATAATAAATAAAGAATAAGATAATATTTCTCTGTCATAATATCTTCTATAAAAGGTAATTACCCCGTGGCAATAGAAGACCATCAGGCCCGACCAAAATGTAGGGTCTGTTTGGCGCAGGTGTCATAATATCTTCTATAAAATCATAATAAATAAAGAATAAGATAATATTTCTCTGTCATAATATCTTCTATAAAAGGTAATTACCCCGTGGCAATAGAAGACCATCAGGCCCGACCAAAATGTAGGGTCTGTTTGGCGCAGGTGTCATAATATCTTCTATAAAATCATAATAAATAAAGAATAAGATAATATTTCTCTGTCATAATATCTTCTATAAAAGGTAATTACCCCGTGGCAATAGAAGACCATCAGGCCCGACCAAAATGTAGGGTCTGTTTGGCGCAGGTGTCATAATATCTTCTATAAAATCATAATAAATAAAGAATAAGATAATATTTCTCTGTCATAATATCTTCTATAAAAGGTAATTACCCCGTGGCAATAGAAGACCATCAGGCCCGACCAAAATGTAGGGTC